GCACCAGCAACGCCAATAAAAAGTCCACCTTCATCCGGCTATTCTCGCACCGTGTCAAAAGGACTACGCCGCGCGGCCGGCCGGCCAACTCGAATGAGCGCAGCGAAGGGCACACGTCCCCGACGGCGGCACTGGCGCCTCCCGCCGCGCCGCTGCCGGCGTTGCTGGCAACGCCGATCCAGGCCCATCGATTTCTACTGTTTTGTTGCCTACGTGCCGCTGCCGCCGCTCAGCCAGCACAATGGCGTGCCGGTGTTGCGCTGTCGGATCGAAAAGCGGCTCGTGCAGCGGACGGACGGGTGCGGCCCGCGCGATGAGCCGCCGCCGCACACCGAGCTGCGCCGCGCGGACGTGAAGGTGGAGCTGGCAGCGGCCTGCTCAGTCCCCTCAACGGCGTCGACCGGCTCTCCGGCGATTTGCGGTCAGAAACGCCGCCGCTTCTGGGACCAAGGTGTCAGAGCGCGGCGCTGCCCGTGAGACGTTAAGTTAGCACAGGCAATGTCGTCTGCACTCCGTGCAGTTCATGTTGAATACACAACCATGTTGCGAAGTAATAGGAGCCGGGTTTTTCAGTTCATAGAACTTTTTCCCTGGCTATTACACCCCACAACCGAACACTGACACCTTGCACAAGTATGACTGTGTGTATGAATGTTAATAAATACATGAACCAATGTTGTGTTTTCGGTTCCAGTACCTTCTTTGGGCACCTCGGCAACAAGTAAGTAATCCGTTAGCTTTGCCACACCTAAGATAGGCTCCCACGTTGTTATTTGCTACCGGGTTAACATAAACCGGTTTAACGTAACTTTTGCATCCCGGCCAAAATTGCCGGGTTAACTGTCCCACCGCTCGAGACTGGCGCTAGGCTGGCCGAGCAAAAAAAAAAAGTTTGTCCGCGGCTTCGTCTTATTCGCAGCTGCTGGACACGGGGGAGGGGGGAGGAGGGGCTGCATCGGACGAAAAGCGGGCTCTGGTATTAACTGGATTTTTTTGCCAGCTGGCGCCGTATGGTGGCGCTAGCAGAGCTTCTTACATATCAATGCTAGATATAAAAGAATAAATATTTACCAATCAATTTTTCATTTAAAGCCATTTGAAATATTTATGTCCATCCTACTACCGCGCTTAGGTATATCTAAAATTAAATACCTTTCGTGCGTCGCCAGCTGGCCAGCCAGCTGACGCAATCCAGCTTTTACCAAAGCCCCGAAAAGCGATGACGTGAGCCCTAATATTGGCTTCACCACACAATTTGAGCCCTCAAACTGGAATCAGGTGAGCTCGAAAATGGGGATCAGGCTGAAAACTGGTATCATAGTGAGACTAGTTTTAGAGCTTGACACCGATAATGGGTACTGACTGAGCTCTGTTTCTGCGATCAATGATACCGATTTAAGGGATCGTATGAGCCCATGTGGCGTTGCTCAGAAAGTATTCTCAAAATGTGCTGTCTGTTTTGAATATGGTACATTAGCCCGAAAACTGGTCTCTGAGCCCGAAAATCGGGACACTGTTTTCTCAGTGTGTGCATGTTTTGCTTCATAGATACCCACAGATACAAAAACTGTATCCTCCTGAAGCTGCAGAGGATTATTTGTGCATTCTGATCAGAGGCTTGTCCCGACCAGAGCGCCGCACACGGCTAAAGGTAATGTGGCCTTCTCAGCGTATTGCAAGCATTTGTTGTCCAAATCACATGAAACATATTGGAAGCACATCGCATAATACAGTTGCTAAAAACTGCCATTTGTTTGTGTGTTATTAGAAATATAGCATTAATGGGCTGCAATTTAAGAAAGCATTATACAATAACACTTTACATATTATATTGTGCTTGTTGAAAAGTGACAACTGCCAGTAAACTGTGTGACCAATAGCTTCAGTGGAATGGTGAATACCGGCCATGAAGGTGCGAATGCAGCAGAGGGAATGACAGAATGGCTTTGGCGGGCGGCAGAACGAGCATGCATTGGAACAGAGACTGCACGACGTGGCTTACCGACACAGGATGGTGAGGGTGCGTAATGCGTCTGATGCAGGGTGTCGGCTAAGAGTTGTGTCGACAGTTTCCGACTGAGCCGGCCTCCGTCCCGGGGAGAGAAGACTGCGAGCCCTGTGAGCTGGGGTCCTTTCGGCTGAACAGCTTATGGACCGGTAACAGTCCCGTCGGCTTGACAACGGGAACTGGGAATAGTCCCTTCGGCTGCGAGACCGAGTTCCACGGTTCCGGGACAATTAGCGCTGGTCATATTGTTTTCAGGCGGCCGCAGCTCATCTTGCAGGCTCGACAGGTAGTCTCTCTCTCTCTCCCGGGAGCGGGGCCGGCTCAGTCACCAGGCACGGTCACACGAGCAGCTTACGTCCGAGGGGAACGACGGCCGCTGCCGGCTCGGTGTGAACAGGCGCTTCTCCTGGAGACGAGAACCAAACGAGGCATCGGCTACGGGAGCGACACACGGCACCAGACGCGGCGCGCCCAGGGAAGTCACCGGCTAACTACTCGACCCGTGAACGGCACAAGACAGAAACGCTGCACGGTTCCAGCCGCAGCGGCGGCACCCAACACGGATACAAACACAAACACTATACAAACACACAGGCGTACAGACTAACGTCAAAAATGGTTGCCGGCGTCTGAAAAATGTCAACGGCCACGTTCTATCTGCGGCCCGGCCCGCATGCAAAGGCAGAAGCGCTCGCGCCCGGTCCCTGCGGCCGAGTAAAGGGTCGACTGGAGCCCATGAGATCCGACAAGTCCAAAAATAGCCTACGAAGTGTGTGTGGTCCCGGGGACCAGTTCGTTTTTAAAGATACATTGTTTTCACTTTGTTTATCAATTGGAATATTCACACAACACATTCTAAATGTAACTACTAACAAACGACTCTCGCCAATGATACCATGTTGATAAATATCAAAATGCTAAGGTCTTGAGATTAGCCCCTTATAATAAAAATAGCCAAATTGAGTGGATTCTGTAAAGTGAAGTTTAGTTTGTCCTAGGTTTGAAGTCACAAACCTGTAGCAAGTAAACTTCACCATACGGCGGACAGGCGATGACCCCACGACCCGTCTGTTTGATGCGGGGATCGACTCATGTAAGGATAGCATTTACGCACCAGCATGAGTTACCCACTTGACACGAACTGTTAACACTACATCAATGAAAGTCACCCCCCCCCCCCATGTGCGGGCTAGGGATGATTTCTAATCAATGCTATACATATTGATATTTCATCATCAAAAACCTCCAGAACAGCCACGAAATAAAGGTTTAAAGACTTATTCGACAGTGCTGCAAAACATGTTTTAAATCTCATACACCAAAAAGCAAAATATTTGTGTCAATGCTGAATTGTAAACCATATATTAGAGCGGTAGATGTTTTGAATCATCTAAACCCAAGGCCGAAGTTGCCACCGGTTAGGAGGAGAAAGAAGTTACGCGATCTCACACAATCGTTATACCTATTTTACTCTCCATAAAAAGAAATTAGAGAGGCTGTTTGTATCACACTCATACGAGGAAAGCAAGAAGTGCAACTTAACCCGCGCGGGGCTGGGGGGGTAAATTTTACCCCCCCTCGCGAATTTTTGCGATATCTCAAAAACGGCGGCGCGCAGCGCCGCCAAACTTTCAGTACCTTTTCCTACATCAATTTGACACGTTCCCTGAAAATTTGAGCGAAATCCGTCGGAAAATTTTTGAGAAATTGACGTTTTAGTGACGTCATGTTCGCCATTTTCGCCTCAAAAACGGCAAAAGTTCAAACGCCGCTAACATCTTCATTTTTAAAGGAATCAAGACGTAACAAAAAAGGTTATACGTAATTTTACTTTGTCTATCAAATGGCTATCTCGGTTTTTTGAAAATTTTGGATTTTGGCCTAAATTTTTTTTTCTCAAAAAACTGATTTTTTTGGGAAAATCATTATAAAATCCAAAATTTTGAGTCTATCAAAAAAACCGGAATATATGTCAGAGAAGTGGTCTATGTGCACCTACACACCAAATTTTAGAAGAATCGGTTCAAAAATGTGGGAGTTATTCAAAATTTTATGACGTCACGACACACAATTTTTTTGAAAAATGACTTTTTTGGAAGTTCTAGACCTCGTACGGAAACAAAAATAGCACCATTCGATTCGCCGTGAAAAACTGCATCAGATAGACACCTTTTTAGGCCTTGACAACCAACTTCAAAATTTGACCTCACTTGACCTGACCTTGACCTGACCTCGACCTGAAATTCATCCAGAGGTGGTCCATATCACTTATTGAGTGTGCCTATTGAATTCTATGAGTAAAATGACCCATAAAACATGTGTCGCACATGCCCTTTTCTATATTTTGTTTTTTGGTGACCTGACCTGACCTGACCTGACCTTGAACTTGACCTCTGAATGATATTGTATGCAACGAATATTGTCTTGGTAGCCTAAGAACACGTTTTGGGCGATCAGTCTCAGTCCATGACTCCATTCTTCGGCAACTACGGTGCAAGGCCGATACTGTAGAAACTTGCAATTTGTACCCTTGACCTGACCTTGACCTTGACCTCAAACTTCAAATTAAGTACATGTTTTTAGTAGTTCGTGATGAGAGCTTTCGATTGGCGTTTGAATTTTCCAAATCGGACCATTAGTTCGGGAGATAACAGGGGGGGGGGGGTAAAATTTACCCCCCCCCCCCAGCCCCGCGCGTTCGGCTGGAGACCCCAGCCCCGCGCGGGTTAATGGTTTGGATTATTCTTTTTTCAAAGTCAGGCCAATGAGACATCAAAATTCAAATCTGCATCTCATAAGCCAGGCCCGAAAGTGGTCCTTAAAAAAGTGGGATACAAATTCAAAATATAGGACGAGTGCTGACCCAGAAAAAAACACAAAACCGTCATTCCACAAAACTCAGCCATAGTATAAATATTCAATGCTCGGGTGTAAAGAGATGCACATGGTCCGAGAGCGCTGTGTTATCCGCACTGTCAGAGGCAGGACTTACGTTGGCGACCAGGTGGTCGGTGCTGCGGACCCGGCTGACTCGCTTGCCGACCAGGTGGGTCTTCACCAGGCGCTCGATGTGCGCGTTGTACTTCATGAAGATGCAGTAGACGATGTACCACATGAACAGAATCAGCGCCTCCACCCAGTTGACCTGGGCGTCCAGCAGGAACCCCATGAGCATCACCAGCGCCACGCCGTAGAAGGAGACGTCGCGGAAGAGCGGCCACCACGTGAGCTCCAGCACCGTCCGGCTGAAGATGACGCACATCGCGATCACAAACAGGATGTTGAACACGGCAGAGCCCACGATGGTGCCGATGCCGACGTCGTTCTTGGCGATGAACACGCCGATGACGCTGGTGAACAGCTCGGGCGCCGATCCTCCGGCGGCCATAAAGGTGGCGCCGGCTACATCGTTGCTGATGTTGAGCTTCTCCGTGATGACGTCCAGCGAGGGCACGAAGAACTCGTCGCAGACGATGGCCAGCGCCACGAACATGTAGATCATGCCGAGCACGTGCAGGATGATGGCGCCCGTGCGACGCTGCTCCTTGGTGAACAGGTCGTTCGGGAAGAGGTTGTCCTCCTCCTCGTCTGCGCCGGGCGCCGGCGACGTGTCCGGCTCCTGCTCCTGCTGCAGCAGGTGGCGGCCATGCCGAACGGCCAGCGGCGGCGGCGGCGGCGCGCCGTTCAGCGCCAGCAGCACCAGCAGGGCGCCGAGCAGCGCCAGCGGCCCCAGCGCGCCCAGCCGCCGGCGGCGGCCCGGCCCCGTGACGGCGGCGGCGGCCAGCAGCGCCATGACGCCGGCACCGACTGAGCGCCGCCGCCGCCGCCGCCGCCGCCGACGGCCCGACCATCGATCCCCGGGCGCGCGCCGCGCACCGTCGCCACCGACGGTGCCTGGCGGTGGCGGCCGTCGGCGCCGACGGCTCCCACACGCCGCGGCGCCGCCCGTGCCGGCCGGCTGCCCGCCCGAGTGACGAGCGACAGATTAACGGCGCCGTCATCGCCGACCGAACAGATAGCCCGGCGTCCCTCCCAGGCCGCCCGTCCGCCGACCCCCCGTGATCCATTCTCTGCGACAGGTCAATATGAGGACCTCTAGATCAGCCGACCAAGCTCCGCAGTCACGAATATCATAATTAACCCGCGAGTTGCTGGGGGGGGGGGCGTTAAACGCCCCCACTTTTTTCGCTGGGCCATAGCATAAAAACGGCGCGCCGCAGGCGCGCCAAATTTTGGGTACCTGTAGGGAATTGATTCAAGTTTATTGTGACAAAGTTTCAAAAAAATCGGTCGGAAAATTTGTGAGATATCGAGGTTTTCGTGACGTCATGATTTCTGAGTTTTCGACCAAAAACGGCATATGTTCAAAAAAATCATATAAAATCACAGAATAGACATACAGACATGCCGTAAACGCCATTAGACTGCCAATACCATGATCAATCAAATGGCTATCTTCGATTATTGATTATCGTTCCGCATTTTCCAAAATCTGGAACTGAATCTTGGCAATTTTTCGTGACTACCTCACGACCATGATACATGAATTTCTTAAATTGAACTTTTTGAGTCAAACACGTACACATATGATAAAATGAATGTCACCATCGTGTTCTACGCCCCAAATTACCTATAATACCTGTGTCACAGGCTGCGAATATCAGTTTTGATTTTCGGGCATATGTGCCTACCCGGTTGACCTGACCTTGACCCTGACCTATGCTTGACTGACCCTTATATGGAGCTGACACTCTTGTAGGCCTTATAAGATGGATTGTGCACCGTTTTGACAGAGTTTATGGCGAGAGGCGCCCATTGTGAAGTCCTGAAGTCCATGCTACTGAAAGCCCGATTTCAGGTGTTTGACCTGACCTTGACCCGACCTATGACCTCAAAATTCAACTTTAAAGTACTCATCTGAAGCGTCTCGTCGCGCTCTTTCGTTTGCCGCCTCGTGCGTTTCGCTGCGCCTTTTGGTTCTCGAGTTATCGGCTGGGGGCGTTTAACGCCCCCCCCCCAGCAAACGGTGGGTGGCGAAATACCCCAGCAACTGCCGGGTTAATGATATGCATAGCAGACATCGTACGAGGTAGTATGGTTATTAGGGCCTTGTAATGAAGTACGGATTATCGTTTGCAGAAATTATTAGATGGGAGCTGGTTTAACCCGCGCACCGACGGGGGTCTGCGCCAACTTAGTACCGACGGGGGGGGGGGGGGGGGCGGATGACCGCCCCCCCCTGAGATCTCGAGAACGAAGCAAGGTAGCGACAAGCGGTAAACGGCATCGGAGACGCACGGACAAGGTCTACAATTTTTACTAAGGTCATTTTCAGGTCAGGTCAAAGATGACGTCACAGGGGTCGAAAAAGTCAAAATGGCGGCGCTAGATATGGAGAGGGTTTTTCTCGAATAACTTTCGAAGTAGTCAAGATAGGAACAAACTAAGGGCATCATCGTGATCCTCTCGTCAATCCGCATCGAATGATATATATGTTGACCTCGAAAGGTCAAGGTCAAAGGTTGACCTCAGGTCACGTGACCTCGAGGTCATCATGTATATCATTCGATGCGTCTTGACGAGCTGAACACAATGAGACCATCCGCGCGGCTGTATCTTGTTCCTGTAAGGAGTTATTGGCAAAAAACCTTTGGTGACCTTTGATGACGTCACATGACCTTACAGCTGCCCAACAGCAAAACAGACCTCAAGGTAGTGAAGGTTGATCGTATGTGAAGTCATGTATGGTATATGGGGCCATTCCGACCCGTTTTAGTGGTAAAAACAGGGAGTTGATTTTTCCCCCATTGACTTATAATGGGGAGGTCGCGAAATTGACCTGACCTTAGGTCACCGACATCAAAATTCCGAGATATACAAATTGTAGCTACTAATGACCTAATAACATCCTGCGACTTTCAAAGGCCTCCGACATCTACTGTAGCTCTGGCACGGTGACAAAGTTGCAAAAAAGTGACTTGAGGTTTGGTCATTCAAAGTGACCTAGTGACCTGACCTTAAAAGTTAGGAGGTTCAAACTTGCACACCATGTGTAAAATTGATGAGAGAATAGTCATACCAAATTTCGCGGCGCTACGCGCCGCGGTTTTCCCGCTATACGCGAAAAACCTCAGGGGGGGGGGGGCGGATATCCGCCCCCCCGTCGGTGCGCGGGTTAATAGGTGTCTAAATGTTTGTACTTAACATTTGTAATCTAAATCTAGATATGCATTATGATTCATTCGTGTTCGTTATAAAGACCTAGAGAGCAGTTGCATTTCAGAGCACGCTACCAAGAAGCACAAATTAGGTCAAATTTTGAAACAAAAATAAGAACGTTCAATGCAGCAATGACCTTCAAGGAGTATCCAGGCGGTCTCGGACGCTACGGGAAAGGGACATGCCCAAAAAAGTTTCTCCCAATACTAAAAACTCCCCAGATTTCGATTTTGTATGCACTGCCGTGCAGTTCAAACACAAAATTTTCTGCATTAAAAATGTATGGTTCTTTTTCTTTTCTAGGAAAACGACAAAATTTCATCAATTTCGGGTGCTGTAGGCCACAGGGGGAACATTTGCCCCAAGTGCCCCACTTGGAAGTACCAATGAGTGAATAATCTTCAATAAATCAGTAAACTACATAGCTTCCAAACATAGACAAAACATGTAAAGAAGGCGAGACCCCTGTGAAACAATAGCCCCGAGTCATCCATTCATTCATTTATTTATGGTCTTTTTTGCTGACTTGCCGTCTTTTCTTTAAACAAATGTTGTAACTACCTGCCATTTCTGATGCGTTAAGTACCGTTTAAGTTGCATAAACGAAAGCGCTGCCGCTTTCGTTTATGCAACAAAAGAAGACTGCAGTGCTAACGATACATGGATTACAGCTCCATCCTAAACAAAGCACTCGTGGCTTGCTTCTGCACGTGTGATGCTGAAAAACCCTGACCTGTCCCACGATTGAAGGAGCATGATATTTCGACGAGTCAGGGGTATTATTTGTGCTTTATTTGTATTTTTAGGCGTTTGGTCTGTGACTTATCTAGCCCCTCAAATCATCCCAAATCAAAGGGCAAAATTTCACATTGCACCTGTGACCTGTGTCATCCATTATCCACCTGTTAACAACATGGCAGCTTTCAACGCAGCAACCGTCGCGTCTCGAAAAGTCCAGTAAATCGCTCCCCGATTATGTATGCCAGCGACGCGCTGCTGTGAAAAATAATATCAGCCAGCCACACGCTTTTCTATCTATATGAGAAGCCAGCTAAACTGATTTGATTTAACCCGGCACCGCCTGGGCTATTTCCGTACCCACGACAGCCTGGGGGGGGGGGGGTCGGATCCGACCCCCCCCTGTTATCTCGAGAACCAATGGTCGTATAAAGCCCCGCGAGGCGGCGTTCGAAAGGTCTCTACGAGACCTTCCCAAAGCACTCTTAAGATTTTAAGAGTGAGGTCAATTTTCGGGTCAAGGTCAGGTCAAAGGTCAAATTCAGGGGTTTTGCATGAATCGGCTTACGGACAGCGGAATCGATAGCTGCTGCTCGAAACTCACCAAAAATGATCTCAAAGACCTAGTGAAGGTACCATGTGCGTATAGGGGTCATACTAAGCACGGGTCAAGGTCAGGTCAGGTCACGAAAGGTCACGGTTTTCACTTTCTGCTACATGAGCGTGCGACGCATGTTTTATGGCTTATTTTTCACGCCGAATCCGATGGTAATGGTTATATGTGACCCCAAGTCACTGTGCTGGTGATAAGTGTGCATTGAAAGTATAAAAAATCGTTTATACTATACATAACTAAACGAGGGCTAAGAAAAAAAGGTCAATTTTTCAACTTTTTATTTTTGACATAAAAATGCACTTTTCTAGACGAGCTTTGTCCCAGGAATCTATTGGTGCCATTTGTTTTCACATGCGATGTTCAGAAGTGCCTCTAATTCACGAAAATGTTTATGACGTCACCCTCACCATGCCCTATGCATGTTGGAGCTATTTTTTACAATTTGGCGGTCAAAAATCAAGATAGAAAGTTGAAATTTGGGGCATCTAATGTTCTAATAGAGCTCTACAACATGTATTCCGTTTTTTTTGGAAATTCCCAAAAATTTTGGATTTTATTAGCTGTTTTCCAAAAAATATAGTTTTTTGAATTTGCAGGGGTGAAAAACGCATTTTATGGAAAATCCGAGATAGCCATTTTAAAGAACTCGTTGAGCTGCGTCTTTTCATGTCCTTAATTTGCAATTTGCTTCAAACCCTGATTTTTGGCCATTTTTTAAACATTTACCACTTTTTGACTAAAAACGCCATGTAGTTACATCACTAAAATCGATATATCTCAAAAATTTTTGGAACTTTTTCTTAAAAATTGCATAGGAGACGTCAAATTGATGGGGGAGAAGGTATGCCAAGTTTCAAGTAGATAGCGAAAGTGGTTCATGAGTTATTCAAGAAAAACGGAGGGGGGGGGTCGGATCCGACCCCCCCAGGCGGTCGCGGGTTAACTAGCATCACTGGTTATTTCTTTTCGTGTGGCTAGTTAAGCTTGTGGGAGGCGTTGATAAATAAGTGTGCCGGCAGCCGGCGATTTTTCCGCTGGTATAACTGGCCTCAGGTCGAGGTCGGTTAGTCGGTCGGCGGTCGGTCGGTCGGTCCACCGACCACCACCCACCACTCCGACCCGGCCCGTCCGTGACCGGGCCGGCGGGCGTGGTCGCTACGGCCGCAGATTTAATGGAGCCCGTGCGGCGGCCTGGCACGGCGGAAGAGCCACTATTAGGACGGCTGAGCG